TTAGTTTTGTGCAGGATCTGTTATTATATAGCTACAGTAAGACTGTGAAGTATGGTACAACGTGGCAAGCTGTTTGTGATCCGTGTTGGTTTTATTACAAATGGTGCAGCATCAAGTTTTCAAGTAAGTCTATGTTTGTTTTTTTAAAACGATGCACAATTGTCCAGTTTTTCTTTTAATTGAATCCATACAAAATACAAATGCCCATGTTAATGTAGCTACTTTCAGACAATACATTCAAAAACACTGAAAAACAAAGCCTCTCCAGTTACAAACATGAACAAACGATGTTATGGAGCCCTGACTTCTATCGTTAATCCATCCCTTTCCCTAGCATACCCCAGCCGGGCACCGTGGGCGGCTCAGCTGTCTACATTGTGCAAGATTTATCGGGCTGGACCCTGGGAAGGAGGGGAAGGCCCTATGCTAGGATTTGTTTTTGGAAGAACAATAGGTTTTGGCCTAAGAGCAGGAGGTTTCAGCTGCACTCCCATTCTAGGGGCCACCATGGGCTTGAAAGTACTCATGGTGTCACTGGAAGAACTAGTGCTACGGCGGATCTGAGGCTCGGAGCTCCTTAAAACGACACTGTGGAGAGGGCTGAGCGACTCCGTGGAGGTGGCAGGGGTGGGGGTGTTTTTCATTTGTTCCAAGGTGTCCAACACGACATCGGGAGCGTGCTTCGCCGAGCTCTGCCGCTCCAGCTCACGGAGCTCGTTCAGCGCCGTGTTCATCGTCTCCTCGATGTCCTGGGTCAGAGCACAGAGAGAGCGGCACGTCATTTGAATGCAAAGCACCGAAGGAGCAAGGGGAGGGGGCAGAAAATGCATGAATTAATTTGCCAGCCATCCTCTCTTTAATGAGTATTATAGTGCTAAAACCAATTTCCACCAGATTTATTTGAAAGACACTACGATTGACAAGATGGCAGCTTTGGCTGGACATTACAAATATTTAACCTGTTTACACGAGAGAATCAAAAAATAAATTAAACCAAAACCTGCAAGCCATTTTAATTAAGTGACTGTCAGGACAATGGATATTTGCTTAGCCGTGTTTTTAACCGTGAAGATTTCTGTCATCTCTTGGGTACTGACAGCTTGAAAGATTTTAGTCCATTTGCTGACTCTTGGCTAACTGCTCCCCTCACCTAGTGCCTCAGGTGTTCAGGATCTGTATTGCCTCACACGGATTATAAAACCTGCTTTTCGAAGGAAATAAAACTTGTGCATGTCTATTAATCAGCTCTTCTCTCCTCTTGTTTCTTTGAGTTAAGTCTTAAGCAGAAAAAAATGCAAGATACTGTTCAGTGAGCTTACCAAAGAAATTATTTTTTTCATCAGGATTTCTGGCACAAATGCTAAAAGAACGCACCAAGACACTAGTTTACTACATTTCAGTGGTACTGAGATACAACTAAGGTTAAAATATCTGGTGTTCCCTGCTGTCTTACAGTGACTTTCACGGAGTTTAATCAAAGTTTGGGTTTTCTCACTGCTGAATCACTAGTCTAGGCATAAAAAAGAAGCATAGCTTAAGCCAAACAGCCCTGTATGTAGTTCCAGGAAAGTAAATAAATAACTTAGTAAAATAAAACAGTAACAATGTTTACATTTTCTCACTCTAATACATGGTTCAGCTTTCTGACCCAAGCATGACCGTCCCTTCTATCCCTCTTTGGGAGCAGAGTTTGAAAGCAAGCATTACCAGTACATTAAATTTTAAAACATGAGTGCCAGCGTTATTGTAAAATACTTTTGCAATCATATTGTACCCTCAGGGTGCCCCTAGTAATCATGTTATCCTTCCTAGACAAAATGGGAGTTCTGAAGACAGCAGTAGTTATTTGCTCAAGAGCTGTTACCAGCTCCGTACAACAGCCCAATTTGATGATCGGGGTTGCTCCCTATTCCATCCTTCTCACCTCTTCACTGCCAGGAATGAGGCTGGTGAGTGTTCACACAGGGATAAGATGGCCCACAATTTATGCAGGTGGAACATCTCGCACATTATGTTCTTAGGCACAACTACAAGCATCAAATCAACATACGGTATGAACTATATATGAACTATATGAAAACTACATAAAATCCACAAGACCCTGGAATGTAAATCTGTGCTTTGAATGGCACTGGTCGCTACTAGCCAGAGCACTTCTCTGCATATCATAATACTAAGAACTAATTGAACACTAATTACGTGCAAGTTAGAACAGGCCAGCCTTCATCAGAGCACAGTGATGTACGTAGCTGCTGTAATCATATACTATCCCAGTGTTCCATGTGGCAGAGGCAATTTCGTTACAGTATAACGGGAAATAATTTCTTTTTATTGCTTCTGCAATGCCTGTTCCCCTTTGTGCTGCTTCTATCCAGGATCCCTTAATGCATCTTCTTCCACGCACACTGTTTAGAAAGCTAAGTAGGATATTCTCCTGCACACCCCCCCACCAGTGTACGTGCTCTGGGCTATGCTGTTCACTGAGACTTGCGCCTCAGAAAATCAGAGTGTGACATAAAATAAAAAAGACACAAACCTGAGCTATTGACTCCGGGTCCAGTGGTTTATGGTCATTGAAACCTGTGTACTGACCAGATGATGTAGATCTTCTAATTGGAGGGCTATCAATCTTCTTTAGAGAATCGTGCCTACTGATGTTAGTGAGACTGCCATGTCCAGGTCTACGCCGCCTTTCAGGGCTGTCGGCATTGAGGTTGCGATTTTGAAGGAGGGCTCTGGGACTGCAGTGAGTTGCCAGGTTGGGGGAACCTAGGTCCACGGACGAGTTGGAGAGAGGGTGAGGTGGGTGTACTGGGCAGTGACCGTCACTGCTCCTGCCGGGGCGTCTTAGAGGAGGTGGAGGTTCTGATCTCTTTCTCTGCCTGCACCAAGGAAGGAGTGGTTACAGGACAAGTTGTAGTGGCCCACCAAAAGCACGTGGAGGAGTAATTGCTGCGGTACCTGAGCTGTGAGCAGTACTACTGAAAACACGTTGTGCTCGAGCTTACCTTCCTAAATACACGTCAGAGTGACGGTCAGTGGGAGAGTTCATGTCCTTTGATGATGACTTGTCCTCAGTTATGGGTCCGCTGCTGGCCTCACTGTCTGCTTTTTGGCTCAGTGTATCTGAGAAAGTATCATCCCTGAACAGAACACACATGGTGAGATGAGAGGTCAGAGAGTTAAGTGTGACAGAGAGCACCTTGGCACTCCCAGATTTTAATCCCCTTAAGAAAAGCAGGCACGTTATAATGCACTGCAGCCCCTCCATGTCTCCAAAAATTGCTTAGAATCCTTCTGTTTCCTGAGCTCTTTACATTTCAAGGGTAACCTTCCTGTAAAGAACAACTTTGTCATCTTTGGCAAAGCACATGCTTGATACCGTAAAACAAGAGTTCAGGGCTGCATTTCTCCAGCCCTTGCTAATCTGAAGTTAAATGTCAGCAATCGCTACAAAGAGATAGTCAAATTAAAACAGGGGCAGCAGCATCTGTCTCTTAATGTACTGGGACCACAGCCATAAACCAAGTAGCTTAGCCTAGTAGTAGCTTTTGATTAAGAGCTGTCCATTCAGGGCAATAAAGACAGAAGCATCCTGCATAGAAGGCAAATGTTTAATCTATCTGGGCCTTCAAACCACTGTCCCCTTTGGAAATCAAATAGTCAATTGCTTCAGTATGTTTTTACACCCCACCAAGAACCTAGTCACACCAGACACTGCTTACATATCCTGCACCACTATGTACTGGTGAGGGACAAGGCCATCGATTCCGTTGTGCCTTCCTTCCCACCAGTCTTCAGATGCGCGGTGATAGAGCAGAAGGGAAGCTCCTTTCTTGAAAGAGAGCTCTCGTGCAGATCTTCCAACGTAGTCAAACTTGGCTATAGCTTCTATGGGCTCGCACTCTGGGTGGGGAGGGAAGAAGAACAGATATCAGATTCCACACTGGCTCACTTTTTATTTATTCACATTTATTGCGTTTTCTCAGTGCTCATTCTTACTGAGCGGAGCTGACAGAACTCAGCTGAGCAAAGGCAGACTTAGGCAGTAGTTACAATACATCCCTTACAAAGAAACACAATCAATTTGTGCTCCAAGTGCGAAACATCTGGGCTGCTTCGCAAGCCGCAGAAAACATATCAGCATACTCCAACATTACGATAGCTGCTGCTGGGAGAGAGGCCTCTGCCTCCTGCTGCAAGGGCTCCTTCGTGGCTGGGGAGTGGGATGGAGGCCAGGCCAAGGAAGACCTCCGAAAAGAAGATGAACAAACTCAGATGAATAATCAGAGGCCCGAGGAACCAGTGTGATAAAAGAAAAGTAAACAGGAGTGCCTTTAACATCTGCAGTGGCAAAGGAAGGAAGCCAGGATTTCCCTGTGCATGAGGAGGGATGCTCTGCCTAACCGGGCTACAAGATTTCCGTCTTTTATGTGATGGGCGTGCAGACCTCGTGAAAACCTAGTGTTTTACACAAGACCGAAGCCTAGTGCTTTCATCTGCTTCCTTAGCACCCTTTTCGAGCGAGGCAGGCGGCTCCAGACCACCCAAGGGCGACCCCTCCGCAGAGGCAGCCCCTGTGCGGGCTGAAGCTGCCCAAGGCAGCTCTGCCTGCTCCAACATCCCGAGCTCCTCGGGTTTCTGCAGGGGAGGCTGGTATTTTCTGGAGTCAAACGTTGGTTCCAGCAGTCCTGGCTAATCCTCTGTCAGTATGCTGGTAAATTCAGCCTTGCACCGGTAAGGGACTCCATCCTCTAACCTACGCTTGGGTCAGCAACCTGCTGCTGTCAGTGAAGGG